CAACTAATATAATAACATGGTAGTACATGCCATGTTATTTTGTGAATGTGATTGATGGCCAACAAATAACCATTTTATTTTCAAAAATTGTATTTGTGCCAAAATTAACTTTGTTTCGATGGCCGAGCCAAATGGACAGGAGCGCATTTTAGCCTATTTTGTTTTTGACTTGCAGGTGGTTGTTCAGAGATGGTTTATTGCCAAAAAACACCACATTTGTTGGATATGCCAGATCTAAGCTCACAGTAGAAGCTATAAAGGAAAAGACAATGCCTTATTTAAAGGTAAGTTTTGTGCTGCACATTAACAACTAAATACATTAATGTTTTTGTGTTATGAATAGACTTGTACCCAATTTGTAACTAGGTCTTGAAGAATAAAATTGGTTGATTATATAAATGCACTGTTCTATATTCACTCATTACAATATTCTGATTTGTGTACAAGTTACATAATGTACCATAATTGTAATGTTATATATATTACACTTGTTATATGTACAAATCTCTAATGAAGAACCCTTTGTAATGAACCAGAGTACAACAGAATTACATGCAGACATTTACATACCTTCCACTATCACTCCTATAGATCAAGTAATACAACTTTTTACCCACATAAACCATGTTTTTATAATAACTTACTTTTCTATCACCTCTCGCTTTATACGTACCCTCAGTATAAATATAGATTTCATTGTCTATTAATTTTAATATATGTATGCATGTTCTAACATTGAAACTATCTTCTCTATATATGTATATATACACTTATGGTTGTTTCCACGGTTACATTATGGTACACGCATAGTCATATGTAAGTAAATTATCTAGAATTTGATGTATTACTCTGTATTTATTTGCAATATTAACAAAATCATAGATAGCTATTTTACTAACCTTGTCGTATGTATGTCATACAATCACTGAAAGGTTTTATAATCAAGAATCTTCTGTTTTCATTTATTACAGTAACATGCTAATATAATTACTCATACATAACTTGTATTTTGTCTTATGTGTTGCCCATTAAAAGAAAAAATCTTCTAATGTCAGACGTAGGACATTTTTTGACTGAAATTACTTTGATTTCCTTGAATCACAACAAATTTCCATCAAAGCATGCTTTGTATGGGAGAGTACCAACTTTTGACTCCTCTTTAAATACGTACATTTATAGATTATATGATGGTTTCCACCACTAAAAAACAATTATGTCTCAAAATTCAGTGTGTGTTTATCTTATAATGGAATACAGATATTGGAGTGTCATTAAATGGGAAGTCGATTTGGACAGATTATTATCCATATGATAGTGGATGAGCATAAAGACAAATGGGACTTTGTGAAAGTGATTTTCCAGCTATAGCATGCTTTGAAAGCTTAAGAGAAACAACTAAAGTACATAATTATACTTCCTTGCCTCAAACTGCATGATTAAATCTGCTTAAAGAATTAACATGTAATGGCTGTGCTTTGTATGTCATATCAATAATTGCTTATTTAATTCAATAGCATTTGACAACTGCTTATGTAGCTATGGTATAATTGACATGTAAGATTGCTTTATTTGTGGATTTCATTTCAGGTGAAAGACAATGAGAAAAGTAAACTGGACACGTTTTTCTCCCTCAATTACTATGTCCAAGGATCTTATAATGGAAAATCAGATTTTGAAAATTTGAATACTTTGTTGAATAAGATTGAGAAGAATCAGAAATCCAATAGACTGTTTTATTTAGCATTGCCACCGAGTGTCTTCATGGATGTTACAAGTAATATCAAAGCTTCATGTATGAGTAAAACGTAAGTGTGTACTCATGTACTCAGACAAGTGATTAATCGTCACAGTCATTATACTAGTAGTTTAAGTCCAATTGATTTGTAGAAATTTAGCTATGCGATGATTATATAATTAATTCATCAATATGAATCGGTAAGAGTCAATTTCCTCCAATCCTTCAAGATAGCCTTGAGTGGAGATTAAATTTGCCTCCGAAAATCTGTCTAACGATGACCTGGAAGATTGCCATGATTGAGTGCCACAATTTCTGTTTTAAGATTTATTCGGTATAATAATACAAATGTTCACCCCAACAGAGGTGGACATACAGTTTTAGTGACCCGAAGAGCTCATTGTCAAAGCACTGCAATAAAGAATTTCTGTTCCCAATAAATAATAATAAAAAAAAGACATTATGAAATTCTTTTGTCTTTTGGGGGGAAAAACCCTGAAAACAAAATGTTTTTAACAAGATAATTTAGAAATTTATATTAAGAATAATTCATAACGAAATGTATTCCCTATGTATCCATAAATAATTTTCATAATTACTGATTACACACGAATATTACAGAAAAAAATAATTTGCTATATTATCTATATTTGTGCCTTTTATTAGTCCCCGTTCGGACGAAGTCCGAAAATGGGGACTTATAATTCGTTTCTCTGTGCGTCCATGCAACCTTCCGGAGTCATATCTCAGAATCTCTTGGACCGATTCCGTTTATTCTTTGCATGTGCCTAGTACCTTATGTGGGACATATGCACATGCAGTGGTTTAGCAATTCGATTCAAAATGGCAGCCATCTTGTTTTTTTTTAAATGTTGTATTTTGGACATGCTTTGTCAGTTGTCATTGAAACTTGGTACATAGATTATACATGTTAGGATACATGTCCATGACGATTTATTTCGCAATTGGATCAAAGATAGTCGACTGGCAGGCATCTTGTTTTTGTTTTTATTATGCGGTATCTTGGACGTGCTCTGTCAGTTTTCATTCAAATTTGGCACATACATGTACTTTATACATGTTAGGATGCATGTCCATGACAATTTGTTTCAAAATCTGGTCAAGGATGACCGATTGACAGCCATCTGACTTTTTGGACTACTACTATATTTCCACAATTTATGTACCATTTTCATTCATATTTGGCACATACATCATACATATCAGTGTGTTTCATAATCAGATCAAAGATGGCTGAATAACGGCTGTTTTTATTTTGGCCATATTACTATGACACGGAACGTGCGTTTTGATGTAAATAAACAATCTGTTGTATACGCCACTTGGAACTCAAGTTTCAAGGACACGCTCGCGACAACCCCTCCGCTTTAATATGACGAGCACAAAGAAAACTTAACGGGGACTGTGTCATTTTCAATGACTTGTTTATCTTGAATTGTGACTGAAAGGAGCTGGATGAAATTACAAACTATTACAGTGCATAAATGAAAGGAAGAGAAGCTAAATATTCATCTCATATGATACTAACTTTTAAATCTTCGTGAGCTTTTACAAACTCTCGAAAACAGACATTGTCAACACTAGCCACCACGTCTTTACACTGTCATAAAATCCAACTACATGTATAAGAATAGGACGTCCTGCTAGCCTGTTCGCTTCGAAAATTGGAATTGAGATTTCTCTGCAAGTTTCGTAAAATGGTGGCTGAAACTTTCTAGAAATGAAATTGAACCTGAACTTCACAGATTGCGGCATAATACACAGCATAACTTGGTAATTTTGTTTAGAAAACGAGTAAAATACTTACCGTCGCTAACACTGCTTTTGGAGGCAGCCATGTTGTGTATGCCCTCAACATCAAAATATGTTCAAAGCTTGAGTTCTCGATGTCAAAACTAGCGGATTTCATTCCTGCAGCTAAGCTTTTCCTGACCAAGCTATGCTGCACGGTGTCAAAGCTGTGATTTTCATTAAAGCTACACTTTCATTGGTACCCCTGATAACTGTGGTATATTTTGTAAACTGACCTTGTCTTAGCTACATAACTGTGGTGTATTTTGTAAACCGCTATTTTAATTAACCTTGGCCAGGAGTGAGCAGCTTTAGTTGCAGTACAACATCTGCAGTTGACGAAGAGTGACAAGTGCAGTGTTTTTTTTAGCTTCCCTAATAATATTTTTGTAATTTTGTGTGATATTTCCAACATCTTGTTGAAAACCACAAGTCCAATTGCTTTGATATAATAGATATTGGTACCTCAGTTGCAACTCTCTCAGATTTGTTTTTTTCATGATGATATCTTCAATTCTCTAATTTTGATGAATATTTTTATTATTTTTGATAAATAGTGATATTTTTTATTCTTGTTAAAAGTCTGATTGCTTTTATACTATACATATAGGTACCTCAGGTTGACTTCTCTAAGATTTGTTCATTTTGTGATATCTTCAATTCTCTAATTGAAATGTGCATTGCTAACATCAAAGCTATCTCAGGCCAGAGGATGCTTGTTTATTTGGATCTTACTGCACTATTATTTGGGAACTTTTATAAAATTCATGCTATATTATTTTATAAGGGGCATTGAGATTAATACAGTGCATAAAGTATTAATTGAGAAACGCATTGGCTAGTATTTTTTCACCAAATTTTGCTGTGCTATTATTTTTTAGTTACTGTGGTTGTAGATTCAAGTCTTCTTATGTTTTTACCACCAATTGTTTCTTCATGACATTGTGATTAATCTTTTTCAGTGGATGGACACGTGTGATTGTAGAAAAGCCATTCGGGAAAGACGCTAAGAGTTCTGCTGAGTTATCAAATCATTTGAGTTCACTCTTTAAAGAAGATGAATTGTACCGCATAGACCACTATCTTGGAAAAGAAATGGTTCAGAACTTGATGATTCTCAGGTAAGTCTGCCACATTTATTTACACTGTATGTTGTTATATAATTTTTCAGATGATAAATTATATTTCAAAAAATGTTGTTTCTTGTAGGTTTGGTAATTTGATATTTGGACCATCATGGAATCGGCACCATATTGCCAGTGTTATTATTTCTTTCAAGGAACCATTTGGAACCCAGGGTAGAGGAGGATACTTTGATGAATTTGGAATCATTAGGTAGTTTTCAGCTCTATTGTCCCTGATTGAACTTTTACTTGTATTGCTCTATTTCTATTCTATCATACAATTAGTTTACATTCCTTGACTTGTACATTTAATTTATGCATGTGTTGAGTGATAGCTACGATAAATGGCAGATGTATGCCAATAAGATAATTCTCATTTCAAGAACATTTCCTGCAAATAAAATGTCAACACAGTGATTTACATATAGTAGGGAGTGTCTCTCTCTTTTATAGAGACGTTATGCAAAACCACCTTTTACAAATTTTATCACTGGTTGCTATGGAGAAACCTGTTTCAACAAGTGCTGAAGACATTAGAAATGAAAAGGTCAGTTCTCCCTCTGCTTCTTAGAAACAAATTCATGAATTGGGACAAAAGTAAGATTTAACATCTGATTATTAAATAATAATAATAATAATAATAATAATAATAATTTTTATTCAACCTTTATATCGGCAGCATGAAAACAGTAATTAATAGTATTTTTATTGGTACAACTTGAGTGATTGGTTGTCAAATGATGCTGGTCATGTTATTGAAAGTAGTTTTGATACAGGTTATTTGATTGGTGACAAAACTCTTGATATTGTTACAGGTGAAAGTGTTGAAATGTATGGCAGAAGTGAAGAAAGAGAACGTGGTATTAGGTCAATATGTGGGTAATCCTAATGGTAAAACTGCTGATTCTAAACTAGGATATCTGGATGATCCAACTGTACCTAAAGGATCTACTACTCCTACTGCAGCTACTGCAGTTGCCTATATACAGAATGAAAGATGGGATGGCAAGTTTGAATGTTTAAACTAAACCTTTGCATTATTTGATCCATACACCAATCTTTCCATCACCAAATAAATATTCATATACAGAATAACATAATTTTGTGGTATTCATCATACCATATTAGGAAATGCGAATTCCAAATATGTAATGATTACGCGTGTAAACGTCCTCTAAAACATGGCTGCCACCAGGGTTTGGCCGGACTCCATACAAAGAATTTCGCTTATTCTGTTTTAAACCTTTTGAATTTCGGCATTCCCATGATGTATCGTTGAAAGGAAAAGATGTATAATAATAACTTAAAAGTTATTACAAGGATAACGCCAAGTATGCACTCAGACAGTATGTCGTCGCATCGATAATCCTGCTGTACTGTCTTCATGCATATTCTATAGTATCCTCATAATAACCTCATGTTAATTTTACAAGTACCATCTAAGGGTATTGTATGATAGAGCACATAATATACTTTACAAAGATAACATGTTAAAAGAAGAACATAGTGAAAGAAATAAATATATTCCTTCATATCTGTTGATGTAACACAATAACATTTTACCATTGTGTAGTTTATTACCAACATCATTTTAATTAGAAAATAACATGTGTCATTTGAGTGCTATGACCGATGATATGTTGAGTTGGCATTATTTCATTATGGTAATCATTTTTTTTAAATATTTGTTTTTATTTATAGGTGTTCCATTCATCTTGAAGTGTGGTAAAGGTAAGAAAGATTCTATCCATACTGACAGAAAGTATTGGTGTACTGTCTAGATACTGATACTGACAGAAAGTATTGGTGTACTGTCTAGGTACTGATACTGACAGAAAGTATTGGTGTACTATCTAGGTACTGATACTGACAGAAATTATTGGTGTACTGTCTAGATACTGGTACTGACAGAAAGTATTGGTGTACTGTCTAGGTACTGATACTGACAGAAAGTATTGGTGTACTGTCTAGGTACTGATACTGACAGAAAGTATTGGTGTACTGTCTAGGTACTGATACTGACAGAAAGTATTGGTGTACTGTCTAGGTACTGATACTGACAGAAAGTATTGGTGTACTGTCTAGGTACTGATACTGACAGAAAGTATTGGTGTACTGTCTAGGTACTGATACTGACAGAAAGTATTGGTGTACTGTCTAGGTACTGATACTGACAGAAAGTATTGGTGTACTGTCTAGGTACTGATACTGACAGAAAGTATTGGTGTACTGTCTAGGTACTGATACTGACAGAAAGTATTGGTGTACTGTCTAGGTACTGATACTGACTGAAAGTATTGGTGTACTGTCTAGGTACTGATACTGACAGAAAGTATATTGGTGTACTGTTTTGCTAAGCAAGGGCTGATACTGATACTGAATAATTCTTTTCAGCTTTAAATGAACGTAAAGCTGAAGTACGCATTCAGTTTGAAGATGCACCTGGGGATATATTTGATGGCATGAATAAGAGAAATGAATTGGTGATTCGTGTTCAGCCAGACGAGGCAGTTTACTGTAAATTTATGACCAAGAAACCTGGCATGGCATTCAATCCAGTAGAAACAGAACTAGATTTAACTTATGGTTCAAGATACAAGGTATGTTCAGAGTGACCCATATATATATATACACCACTATATAACATTGTAAAAGGACTGAACAAAACTGTTTTCATAATGTGGTATTTAGGTTTGCTTTGTCTCATTGTGTTTACAGGATGTTGTGTTACCTGATGCGTATGTTCGTTTAATACTGGATGTTTTCTGTGGAAGTCAGATGCATTTTGTCAGAACGTAAGTCTATGAATTAATTGATAATGTACTTTTCTGTTTGAGTGCTAAAACCTTAGAAATGAATATGCCTATTTTGCCAGCAATCAACTTACAGAATTTGCCAGATTGCTTAATTTTAGTATGGTGTTTAATCAAGTTCATTAATGATAGAAGTTTGGCCATCTTTATCTAATTGCCAGCTGATGCCGTTATATACCATTCACATCAGCTATCCATGTATGCTTTCAGCGGGCAATTAATGTGTTAAAGATGTATAAAGCACACATTAAGTAAACATTTTAATGATTTTGATATATCATACATACTGTAAAGGGGTTAATTATTCACTGGGTTTTAATTTTGCTGATTTCACTGACTGGAAAAAGTGCTAAATTAAAACCCAGTGAATATGTAAAATTTAGCATAGAACACATTATCTAAATGATAAAACCATGAATTTAAAACCCACTGAATATGCCTGAAATGGTAAATCAGTGAAATTTAAACCCAATGGAAATTATTCATTTTTCAGTATTCAGTCTTACATGTGGAAAATACAGTATGAAAGTTTTGCTGTCTCAAATAATGTGGAATATTGTGCATCATTTACATATGCCCAGTGTTGTACCCAAGATACAAACATCATGGCAGTGCTGCCATGCTTGTCTGACATCACAGCACTGTGCTCCAAATCATTACCACCATGCTTGTCTGACATCACAGCACTGTGCTCCAAATCATTACCACCATGCTTGTCTGACATCACAGCACTGTGCTCCAAATCATTACCACCATGCTTGTCTGACATCACAGCACTGTGCTCCAAATCATTACCACCATGCTTGTCTGACATCACAGCACTGTGCTCCAAATCATTACCACCATGCTTGTCTGACATCACAGCACTGTGCTCCAAATCATTACCACCATGCTTGTCTGACATCACAGCACTGTGCTCCAAATCATTACCACCATGCTTGTCTGACATCACAGCACTGTGCTCCAAATCATTACCACCATGCTTGTCTGACATCACAGCACTGTGCTCCAAATCATTACCACCATGCTTGTCTGACATCACAGCACTGTGCTCCAAATCATTACCACCATGCTTGTCTGACATCACAGCACTGTGCTCCAAATCATTACCACCATGCTTGCCTGACATCACAGCACTGTGCTCCAAATCATTACCACCATGCTTGTCTGACATCACAGCACTGTGCTCCAAATCATTACCACCATGCTTGTCTGACATCACAGCACTGTGCTCCAAATCATTACCACCATGCTTGTCTGACATCACAGCACTGTGCTCCAAATCATTACCACCATGCTTGTCTCCATGTATGTATGGGGGTCTAAAAACTAACTCTGCGACGTGATTGTGCGACTCGCCGAATGTCGATTATTAGTCCCCGTTCGAACAAAGTTCGAAAACGGGGACTTATAATTCGGTCTCCGTGCGTCCGTCCGGAGTCATATCTCAGAATCCCTTGGACCGATTCCGTTCATTCTTTGCATGTGCCTAGTACTTTATGTGGGACATATGCACATGCAGTGGTTTAGCGATTCGATTCAAAATGGCCGACTGGCAGCCATCTTGTTTTTTGGAAATGTTGTATTTTGGACATGCTTTGTCAGTTTTCATTCAAACTTGGTACATAGATTATACATGTTAGGATACATGTCCATGATGATTTATTTCACAATTGGATCAAAGATGGCCGACTGGCAGCCATCTTGTTTTTTGAAAATGTTGTATTTTGGACATGCTTTGTCAGTTGTCATTCAAACTTGGTACATAGATTATACATGTTAGGATACATGTCCATGACGATTTATTTCGCAATTGGATCAAAGATGGTCGACTGGCAGGCATCTTGTTTTTGTTTTTTTATGCGGTATCTTGGACGTGCTCTGTCTGTTTTCGTTCAAATTTGGCACATACATGTACTTTATACATGTTAGGATGCATGTCCATGACAATTTGTTTCAA